AGCATTCTTTACTTGTTCGCATTTATTATCATACTTGAAATTTAGAGAATTATTATGGATGGTTTCAACTATCAAATTAAAGATCCTAAATATTCATTTGTAATTTTACCAGCATTTGAATTTAAGTTGTACTGTCTGAGGCTGCTATACTGGACAATTAGCTAATGTCTGCTCTATATACATGCGAAGTTTTGCTTCTGCATACATATTGTAGCATATGTTTTTTTCTAAAAATTACATTATGTAGACAGCATGTTAGGGGATGTTATGGTTTGTGTCTAGTAGTCCCCTCAAAGCCTCATGTAGTCATGGGACAGACTTCTAGAGTTTAAGATTAACTCATGATCTACTAGGACTATGGATTTGAGTGTTGCTGGGATTATGGGTGTGAGTACTACTCCCAGCATGGGGCGGAGAGCCTGAATGCAATTTAAGGGAGACAGACTTACTCTCTGTAGCCATTGTTGCTGCTACTCCCCCCTTTGCTCTCTGCTCTTTGCCGCCGCCATGAAAGGTTGCCCTCTGCCATGTGCCGCTCTGCCTTGGAACCAGCTGAGTATGGACTGAAACCTCCAGTCACTGAGATAAATAAACCTTTCCTTCCTTCATTTTGGGTGTTGGGCATTTGTCCCAGAAATGAGAGAAGAGTAACTGAGATGGCGTTATTCTGATGGCGTGAGACAATACTTAATGAAGAATAAAGAGTAAATAAAAATAAAATATAAAACCTATAAAATAAGGAAAACTGCCACAACACAAAAATGCCGACTTGGGAACAAGTATTAGGTATGATTAAAAGATCAAGAGACAGCAAAATGATCAAATTCATTTAACGATTATTGCCTGCCCACTCTGAAATAAACACTATTGTAGATGTCTCTCTCTCTCTCTCTCTCTCTCTTTCTCTCTCTCTCTCTCTCTCTCTCTCTCTCTCTCTCTCTCACACACACACACACACACATCCCACATACATACACACTTCTAGTTTTTATTAGTACATGTTTGCAGCACACAATGACTACACTTCTCATGGGAAGTTGGTACCTGTACACAATGCACCTTAATTGTCTCATCCCCTTCCCCTGTCTCTCTCTGTCCTCTCGATCCTTTTCCCACTTGCAAAAGATCTCTCTACTTCCAACTGTCATTTATTTTGCTCTTTATTTCTACTTCAGATTTGTCACATAAGAAAAACCATACATATTTAAGCTTGTGTGTCTGATTTATTTCACTTAATGTTATGGGTGTTATGTTGTATACATTTTCCTACAAATGACTTTTATCCTTCTTTATGACAGAATAGTACAAATTTGTGTACAAATGTATTTTCTTTATCCATTCATCTATTGCTGGACATTTAGACTGCTTTCAAGACTTAGCTATTATGAATTGTTCAGGTCACACACATAAATCCGAACACACACACAGAGGTGAGATTTGTTGGGAGGGGAAATATAATTTTTTCCTAGACTTACCCACATAAACTCGGGTAAGTGGCACATTCACATAGTCACATCTATCTGGAAGGCTGGGGCAGAAGAATTACTTGAGTCCAGGAGTTCAAAGTCAACCTTGAAAACATATTGTGGTCTCTGCCACGTGCTGCTCTGCCTTGGCGCCAGCGGAATAACGACTGAAACCTCCAGTAACTGTGAACTAAATAAAGCTTTTTTTCCTTCATTTTGGGTGTTGGGTATTTGTCCCAGAAATGAGAGAAAAGTAACTGAGACAGGGGTTCTTCTGATGGTGCGAGACAATGCCTGATGAATCATAAGAGACCACAATGGAGGATTTCTGAAGGACTTACAAAGGCCCTGAAATTAGGCTGAGGTGTCCTGGGAAGAGGGGAAAAGAATGCCTGAGGTGGTCAGGACGTGCCACAGGAGAGAAACCATGCCAATGTCTACTTTTACAGAGCAGCCCAACAGAATTAACTTCGAAAAACCAGAGGCAACAAGAGCAGCAAGGGACAGTTTATACTAGGATTTGAGACTGCATAAAATCTTCCTGCCTAGAATTACTTTATTCAATACAAGAATATTAGCAGAATAGTGTTTAGCAGATGCTCTGGAAATAGGAAGAAATGGTAGTAATTTATAATTACAAGGTACTACCACTTGTGTTATTTTAATTAAGAAACATTTATAGACGGAGAAATTAAGACACAATAGACTGTTGATAATCTTCAAGATACATAACAAATTGTGGTCAGACCAAGAGTTAGAATCCAGATTTCCTGCTCTTAAATCCTGATATTCAAAATGCTATTATTTCTTTCATACTATACATCATATATACAGCATTAAAAAATCTTTATTCATAAGCCCGACATCCTAAGAATGCTAATAGAAGAGTAAACTGCAGTAAGTCCCTAACTTAGGGACATTCAAATCGCAAACCTTCACAGATACAAACAGACCGTGAATCGGGAACATTCCTAGATGCAAACAAATCGTAGATGTAGCTCACATCTGCTGGACACTGCCCTAAGTGTGCTGCCATGTGCTTCCCGTACAGTGCAGTAGTGTACAGAAGCAGAGTGCTCCATCAGAGCCCAGGGCCTCAGGAGGCAAGAGGAAACCCAGTGGTGACGCGGAGGGGACTTCTAGGAAGCACAAAGCAATATAAATTGTATATTTGTGTCAAAGCTGTGTAAAACTCACACTATCAGACTAAGGTAAGAATCTGAGCATCCTTCTCCCAGAAAGCAACTCCTTTGTAAGTTGCAGATTTACTGTTGTATTGGACAAATTTGATTACTATCTGCCACGAAATTTTCCTTAAGCAGTAGTTTCTTTTCTTTTTTTTTAATTTTCCGCTTGGATTGTTTTCTTTATTTTTTAATTTTTTCCCATAATTTTATTGAGAAACAAATAGTAATGAGACAGTTTCAAACCAAATTGGTAGGACAGTTTCAATAATTAACACATTGCATACATTCTTCCTAGTGGTTAATTGCTGTACAAGATGCGGACATGATATTCTATTTACAAACACTATTAGAACAAATCCCTCTATTCATTAAGAGAAGGTAACTATATATTTATCCTAATCATTTTGAATACACAGATACAAAATGGACATTCATCTGTATCCCTGTTTTAAGTTCCATCATTTAAATATTATAGGTGTGTAAACTCAGCAAAAGTATTCTAAAAGAGTTCAGTAGTCCATAATAGAATTGGGTCTTCCACTTCACTGGCAATGTCAGAAATTGTTGACCTGAGTACCCTACAGCTCAACATAACAGCATGGCTTTACTTCTTATACTTCGTTTTTATACTTTTTCTGCTGGATGGTTAAGACCAAGGTAAAGCAGGACCTATGCAACAAGAGTTGTAGCTTTTGGATCTGATAAGGTCAGTGAAATCCCTAAGGATTTATGCTGAGATCCTGTACCTCAGATTGTAGAATCTTTGTCAGTGTCAGCCATGTGGATGAGTCACAGCCATTGCTTGGCCAATGTGCTCTCTGTGAAAGCCTGAGAGAGTGTTTTCTCTCCATGTGACTCTCCTTAGGCACACTCTACATCATTGATCACTTTCCTCTGCAGCCCCATAATCTCTTTGGTCACACAATTACGCAGTAGTTTCAAGTAGCTGGTTATAGTTTTTAAACTCTGCACAATAGGTTTTTGAATAGAGGTGTTGATGCCAATCGTTTATTAGAAATTGATCATCTCAAGGCATTTTTATTGGTATTATTAGTCTCCTAAGTATGTGGCTCAGGGAAAGAGGGAACACACTACATCATGATCCCAGGTGTAAAAAAAAATTATTTCATTATATCATCTGTTCAAGATGTAAAACAATGCATGTGCGGCAGATAATTTTCAACTACTGAAACCTTAAGTCTCCTTTTAGTTTCCTAAATAATATAAATAAGGTGCTGGTCCAGTCTTTCTTATTAGATACTCAAGGTATGTAAGAAACAAAAAAATCCTGTACCATTTGTGGAGTTCTTACTATGCATCATGACATTACCTAAACGTTTTACATTTGTAAACTCACGTAATCCTGGCATACCCGCAAACACCATATACAGCAAGTACAATCAGTAGTCCCATTTTTCAGGGGAGAAAATCGAGGTGCAGGGAGATCCGCAGCTTGCCCTAAGACACAGCAAACATCTCTAAGAGCTAGGATTCTTTCTATACACAAACGTTTCTGGGAATTAAAAGTATTTTCAAGGCGCTTTGCTTTCGTCTTGTCTTGAAAGACGTATTGTTTTGTGTTGAACTTTGTAAGAAACGGAGCTAGGAGCTTTCGCTCAACGGGGGCAGGCTGGACCCTCGGCCACCCCGCTCTCTCTCGTATTCTACCTCCCCTCTTCCCGAGGACAGCCAAGCCTTCTTGCCCTGAGCGCACAGCCCAGAGCCCTGGCCCCTCCAGGGAGCTCCCACTAACCCGGAGCCCAGCCCCGCGTCGCGCCGAAGTGACGTAACTCGCGCGCCGGCGCGGGCCTGGGGGCGGGGCCGCGGAGTTGGCCGGCCGGGGGCGGGGCCGGGGCGAGGGCCGAGCTCGGGGCCGAGCGGCCATCGCAGCCTCTGCGGTCCGTTCGCCGGTCTCCGTGCCTGTCCTCCTGGCCGAGCGCAGCAGTGGCGTCCGTGGCCTCGCCGTGAGGCCACCGCGGCTTCAGAGGCTCGGTCTCCAGCGCGGCCCTATGTTGGGCGCCGCCACGGCTGTCTGAGTGCGGGGCCGCGGCCGTGGCGCTGGACGGCGGCGGCGGGGCCGGGCCGGGGCCGC